GTGTAGTTTAATCATGGGAGCGTAACTTACTAGTTGATTTGTCAAAATGATCATACATGCCCAGCCTCCTTGTATGCCTATTCTGTTAATGGCAATTGCCACCCACTATAGTTTTATATATTGCTTTACATGTTGATTTCCAAACATGACAAGCGGTGATTTGAAATTAGATTCAATAACAGCTTTCATAAAAAAAGGCAGGGACAATTTTTTTAATGGCAACAAATCATTTCAATGAAAAGTAATAATAATTGAAATTTTCAAAAGTAAGATAGATCTTATGAGGCCCCCCCCCCAACCTCCAAAAAAAAAAAAATGCTTAAATGGTCTTCAAGAACATTCCATGCCCACCTGTGTTACCATTTACCAACATAAGGTAAGTGCACTGCTGAGACCATCGTTTATGATCTTATTTCCTCATCCTTGTGCCGATTATTTTTTTCCCAAGTCTTCGCATCCTCGTCTCCCTCGCATTCCTTTTCTCACGGCGCCGGGAAAAGAGGGTCAGCAATACATCACTCATACAAATTCTTTTGAAGTATAATGAATAACCCTTACATGATTTTTAAAATATAGTGTATTGCCAACTTAATACGAAAAAACATATAAAATCGATGGGGAGGGATTGAAAGAAAAAAAGCAGTGGTATTTGAATCCAGAAAATAATTAAGTTTGGCAAATGAATTTAATCAATGGTCACTGGCAGGCATCTAAAAATGACACAGCGGACAATCATTCTTACGATGCAGCCAACGAACAATACTAAGGCCGTACAAAAGGCTTGACAGTACTAAATTTTAGCTTAACTTGAAATCCGGTTTCTTTTATGAAAAAAATTGGATTAGAAATTTTATAGTCCAGTCTTATTCAGTGATAATTCAAAATTTAACAGAATTGAACTTGATCCATAAAATTAATAGATTAGTCCTGTTAGTTTAGTATTTACTTAGTTTTTTTTCCTTTTTCCTTTATGAGAGGCAATAATCCATTTCAACCTGATAAACTCAATTAAAATAATAAAAACACTTATAATCATAATAACTCCATAATAATTTCCATCAAGAAGAAAAAATATTTCAGTTACAGTCTAAATAATTTAAATTTATAACTTCAACAAAAATAATACTCAACAAACTTTAACAATATTACATTACAACAACAATTTAAAAATAAACTCAACAAATCTTCATGCAATCATCTCCTTAGCATCAATTACATCTAAAACATTTATCAAAAATAAATTAATTATAATTATATTAAATAAATTAATAAGACCAAACTGGACAAGTGGTCTAGATACCCAATTTTCTATCCAATTCAACCTAAAAAAATAGTATGATCTTTTTAATCTTTTTTATCCTGAAGGATTGGTGTTTATATGGATTGAACAGAACTGAATCATCTCAAGTCAAATTGGGTTAGACAGGATCGAAGGACTTTTGCACAGTCGTAAACAATACAATCCTTGTGAAAGAAGTGTGAGCAAGGCATGCAAATAATCCAACCTTGAAAACTTCCGAGCAAATCACACAGTGACGCAGCCCTTGTGCTTTTGCTCGAGCTTGTTTTAAAAGTTAAAAAAATTACGTTCAGATCTCATAAAAGGAAGTTATTATTAAGAAGTTTTATAAATTTTATAAAATACTCTCAAATGTCAAATCCTTGCATTGACTGAGGCATTAACAACTAGGCAACAAACGGTCATTGCCCAGTATCAATGTTCTTAATCAAATTGTCAATATGAGGGTTTAAAACTTGAAAGTATTTTATAAAATTTATAAGACCTTTTGATAATAAACTTCCTTCTATGAAACGTGAATGTAATTCTTCCTTAAGAGTTTAACCTATCTTGTTTCAATTTCTTTACCCAAGGCACGTAAAATTAGACTAGTCATGGCATTAGATCACAAGTTAGTGGTTCAATTAGGGTTGAACTGGTGACAAACTAGTTATGATTAAAATAATATAATTTAAATAAAAAGATACTGATTATAAAAATATTGAACTAAATCTAATCACTCAAAAGTCTAACAATAATAAAATATAACATTTTAAATATCTATCTGTACAATTACAACCCTTTAATTATTAAAAAGTCTAAATTTAATATTCACCAACATCAAAAATCATCATTAACTTCATTCAAATTTCCAAACATTAAGATATTAAGATTTGAATGAGAAAAATCAAAACTACTAACAACATCATCAGGCAAAGAAACAACATTCAAGAGTTAAATCAAGAAACAAACAATAGAGTCAAGCACGAGCTATAGTGACTAACCTGACGCAAAAGGAAATGCAAATGCTAGGATGTAGAAGACTTTAGTAGAGAAGGTGAGAAGAGAAATAATGGTGATGGCGGACGACAAGACTCACAAAGATGAACTTTAGGATGCGTTGAGTACAACATCACTTGAGCAAGATCTGGAATGTGAAAGTTGAGCACGAGTTGCTGAACTGAGCTATCAAGATTGGATGTATGCTGTCGACGGCGAGAAGAACTATGGCATTTGGATTTTGTGTGCTCTGCCTTTGATTTCATAGTGATTAGGTTAGAGAAGAGGAGAAGAGATGGAGACAGAGTATGAGGTTGATTAGGTTAGGGCGAGAGATGAATGTTGTATGGACTCTGCATGCTTTACCTCTGATTTCAATTTTATTTTTTGATTTTCTTCATATCATTCAATTTCATAACTTGAAAATGAAAAAAAAACCATCATCAGGCAAACATTAAGATATTAAGATTTGAATGAGAAAAATCAAAACTACTAACAACATCATCAGGCAAAGAAACAACATTCAAGAGTTAAATCAAGAAACAAACAATAGAGTCAAGCACGAGCTATAGTGACTAACCTGACGCAAAAGGAAATGCAAATGCTAGGATGTAGAAGACTTTAGTAGAGAAGGTGAGAAGAGAAATAATGGTGATGGCGGACGACAAGACTCACAAAGATGAACTTTAGGATGCGTTGAGTACAACATCACTTGAGCAAGATCTGGAATGTGAAAGTTGAGCACGAGTTGCTGAACTGAGCTATCAAGATTGGATGTATGCTGTCGACGGCGAGAAGAACTATGGCATTTGGATTTTGTGTGCTCTGCCTTTGATTTCATAGTGATTAGGTTAGAGAAGAGGAGAAGAGATGGAGACAGAGTATGAGGTTGATTAGGTTAGGGCGAGAGATGAATGTTGTATGGACTCTGCATGCTTTACCTCTGATTTCAATTTTATTTTTTGATTTTCTTCATATCATTCAATTTCATAACTTGAAAATGAAAAAAAAACCATCATCAGGCAAACATTAAGATATTAAGATTTGAATGAGAAAAATCAAAACTACTAACAACATCATCAGGCAAAGAAACAACATTCAAGAGTTAAATCAAGAAACAAACAATAGAGTCAAGCACGAGCTATAGTGACTAACCTGACGCAAAAGGAAATGCAAATGCTAGGATGTAGAAGACTTTAGTAGAGAAGGTGAGAAGAGAAATAATGGTGATGGCGGACGACAAGACTCACAAAGATGAACTTTAGGATGCGTTGAGTACAACATCACTTGAGCAAGATCTGGAATGTGAAAGTTGAGCACGAGTTGCTGAACTGAGCTATCAAGATTGGATGTATGCTGTCGACGGCGAGAAGAACTATGGCATTTGGATTTTGTGTGCTCTGCCTTTGATTTCATAGTGATTAGGTTAGAGAAGAGGAGAAGAGATGGAGACAGAGTATGAGGTTGATTAGGTTAGGGCGAGAGATGAATGTTGTATGGACTCTGCATGCTTTACCTCTGATTTCAATTTTATTTTTTGATTTTCTTCATATCATTCAATTTCATAACTTGAAAATGAAAAAAAAACCATGGAAAAATAATAACTTGTTTAACCCGATCAACACATTGAGTTATTTGGGTTAACCTCGAGTTGATCAAGTTACACTGGATCATTTTTTGACCAATTTAGATGAAAATTCAAACCAAAAAGGAAATCAAGTCACTGATTTATGTGTTGACTTGGCCGGTTTTGTTCAAGTTTCTATACCATGCCTTTACCAATGTCCCCTTGCTTGGAGAAAATTATATCTTCACATATATAAATTTTCATATTTTGCATTACCTTCTGTTTATAGCACACCGTCATCCTTATATTTTAAATTCCAAATTTGTTTGAGTATTAAATGATAAGCTAATTATTTAACAATTTTAGAATATGAAACCACCGTCAACAATTATAAAACATCTAATTATTAATTTTTTTCAAATTATTAATTTTTAATAAATTTGACTCCCTCGCTCAGAAAGCCTAGCTCCCCCTCTCCTGTCATTCTGTCAATTAGTTGCCACTAATTATAGTCTTATCTTAAACTGTATATATTATAAATTATTAAGTCAAAAAACTATATGGAAGGGGAGAGAGAGAAACGCGGGGACAATTTAACAAAGGCAACATATCATTTCAAGTAAAAGCAAATAATAATTGAAATGTTCAAATTAAGTGGTCTTATCAGGCCAAAAAGAAAAAACGATTGCATACTCTTCAATGGTCTCCCGGGAAATTTCATGTCTTACGGCTTGCCCGCGCTAGCAACGTTGAGTAAACGCGTTGCAGACCTCATTAATATATATATATATATATATATATATATATATATTATTCATTTAATTAAATTTTTAATTTTATTATTATATCAACCAATTTGCTTTAAAAAAAATTATATTGAAACCTTATATAAAAAAATTAATTATTATAAAATTTATTAATAACTGAATTAAATTTATTTAATTATTAATATATTTTATAGTAATTAATTTTTTATATGAAATTTATATGTAATTTTCCTATAAAAGAATTGATTGTGAAAGACTATCTCCCTACCACGCGCACTGTATAATTTTATTTCTTTGTCATCATCGTGCCAAATATCTTTACTCAATCGAATTCTTTATTCTTATATTTATTGATATTATTAGACAAATGCAGTTTATTTCTCAGAAGCCGTGACTAAGTGCGCGGATTTGGGTCTGAGACTCTGTTATGCACCAATAAAATACAGAGCCTCTGTGCTCCCACGCCATATTATTTCCGAGTCTTCATCCTCATCTCCTTCGCGTTCTTTCGCTCATGGCGCAGAAAAAAAGGGTCAGAAATTTCCTTTACATTCTCAAAGACAAAGCCTCAGTTTTCGCAGCATCGCTATCCCTCAGACGCCACATGTCTACTGTTCGCGTCTCCATCCTCCGTGCCACCACCCACAGCCTCTCAACTCCTCCCTCGGAAGCCCGAATCCTCGCCGTCTTCTCCGTCGCCAGCAACGGCTCCCACCTTCTACCGCGTGCCTGCATCAACGCTCTGATAGATCGACTTCACCGCACGCGCAGCGCCACGGTAGCCCTCAAATGCCTCTTCACATTGCACAACGTCATCGTCCGGGGACCTCTCACCCTCAGGGACCACCTCGCTTGTTACCCTTCATACGATGGCCAGAATTTCCTCAACCTCTCCGCATTTCGCGACGACTCCGACGTGGAGTCTTTGGAATTGTCGTCGTGGGTTCGATGGTACGCTGGTGTTTTAGAACAGAGTCTATCGGTTTCGAGAGTCTTGGGTTACTACTTGAGCTCGTCTTGGAGCAACGACATCAAGAATGCCAAGAAAGGCGCGCATGATAGGAAGACTTTGGGGCTGTCGAATTCAGAATTGTTTCATAAAATAGATGTTCTTGTAGGTTTTGTAGAGCTGATAAGCCGAGTGCCAGAGTCATTACAGCTTCAAAGGAACGATTTGGTTTATGAAATGGTGAGATTAGTTGGTGAAGATTACAGAATTGTTCAATATGAGATTTTCTTGAGAGTAGCAGAACTGCGGGACAGGGTGGAGGATTTGGAGGTGGGCGAGATGGCAGAGTTGGTGCGTGATTTGATAAGATTGGAGGACAGCAAGGAAGGATTGGTACTCTTGTTTGTGAACAGGAAAAGAAATGACCGGTTCTGGGAGTTGATTAAGCAGACAAAGGCGAAGGCGGCGGCGAAGAAGGAGGAGAGAGAAGGCAAGTGGCTGACGGCGGTGAAGACGAGCAGGAGAGACGAGGCGAGCGAGTTGACTCGGTCTAACAACCCGTTTCTAGAAGCGGGACAAGTGCTTCGGGTTCCTGCAACCCGGTTGCCTTGGATGGTTCCAACGGTCGGATGATAACGGTATTCTTTGAGTCTGCGAATCCGACAGGTTTCACTCCTTGGTCCCTTTCACTTTTTGGCTGGGCCTCACAGAAAATCTGGTTATGGACCTTTTTCGTTACTGGCCTGTGTGGCTTCTTGATTGGTTTGTGTAAATAGTCATTAAAAAATTTTACATCCACAGTCTGGATAACAGAAAGATTTCGCCTCAGTTTTCGATCGTTAATACATGTATTGATAGAATTGGATACGATTTTTTTCCCGTCATCACAAGAAATAATGGTGTAAGGTACAAATACAAGAAAGATTTTCCTGTTTTCCATATGGCTATTGCAGGGAAAAGTGGAAGGATTTTTTTGTTTGTTAATGGTTACAAATTATTGACATTGTTTTGTATTGAAGCATTCAAAGTTTGAATTATATATGATTGAGCGATTAGCCACTAGGACTATTTTAAGTTTTTTTAAGCTCTGATTGACTTCGAGGCTTAGCTATTCAAATTCAATGTTCGATCACACGCAACAAACATACTATAGGATGAAATGGTGATGATTTGACCCAAAAGAGGGGGAATAAAAGAATGAAATGGTAACGAGTCTTTGGATTTGAGTTTATAAACCGTTGAAAATTTGATAATTAATCGGACTGGGAGTATATTGTAGTACTTGAGTAGTTGATGGCATGCCATAAATTTTGCCATCAGGGAACTCTCTCATCGTTAATTTTATTCTCGCTGTTCCTAAAACGTAACCCGGAAATTAATAATCAACAGCTAAATAATGAAAACCAATTCACATTGAAGGCGAATGAACAACTTGTCATTACAATGTCGAAGGAATGAACTGCGCGCATTTGCGGTCTTAGCATGGCGTCAAAATGAGGCATGTGATTGATAATCAAGGCGGGCTAGAGCTTGACCACTTGTTAACTCGGGTATTAGCTTTATCAGCCTGAAAAGTGAAAATGCAAAAACTCAGGAGTCAGAAATCAGCCTACAAGGTCTCATCTGTTTAAATATAAAGGAGGCAAAGAAGAAGAAGAAGAAGAAGAACAAAGAGGTTGATGTTTGGAAGAGAGGGGTTATGACCTCTTTATCCCAGTCGCATCGTGCAGTGATTATGACGAGTAAGAGGGTTTGAATAGCCGTTCCACCAAAGATCATGCCACCCCATATGCCCTGTGATGATACCTTAACAAAGTCAAGTGAATTCTCACATTTTCAAACAAGCCGCAAGACAAGCAAGACGATGATACCTGAACGCCCAGTTTGAAGATCCAGCCCAACAAAAATCCGACCGGGAGCCCAATAATGTAGTAGCATCCTACATTTATATATGCCACCGTGGCCTGCCACCCCAAACCCACCGCCACACCTTTGCCATCACATTCAAAGCATTTCTTCATCAAAATGCATCCCAAGTTTCTCTACACTACAGTGACGATAGCTGTGCGGGTGACAGCCACATGATTAGATAAAATCAAGCAGGGGTGGATTTGGATACCGGACAAGACGGGCTGAACACTGTTGAGGAGAATGGTGATGGCTAAGAGGTAGTCAATGTGGTCGACGGCCTCGAGCACATCGGAGGTGGAGGTGAAGATGGATGCGAGTTGGTGGTGGAATGCCAATACAATGACGAAGAAAAGGAGCCCCGTCACCGATGACTCTGCCACTGACACTTGCATCGCAAATTTTGCTGCTTTTCCGTTCCCACTTCCCAGCTCGTTCGCCACCCTCACCCTGAATATTCATCCACAAAGTGCTGAGTTTTGAGGAAAAGGCCGAGACCACTCTGTCTCCGCTGTTGGCTTGAAATCACTCCGATTGGAAACGGTTTGCCGGTTTAGACTTTGGATTGTACTGCTACTATCGGTGGAATGGATGCAAAAGGATTTATTGGGACAGTAATTGCAAGTTAATAAATGTCAGCATTCACGGATGCCCCCGATTTAACTTCGTCGGAGTAGCGACAATAATATCCCCAGGAAAGTGGAAACACAGTATTAGTTTAGTTAACAGTATTGCCGGTGCTTGGCTTCTGTGCTTAACAAGTAGTGCTCGCTTGAGCATTTGAACTATTCAATTTAATATTTTTATTTTTTACCAGATTTTAAAATTTTTATAAAATATTATAAAATGTTAATATATCTATTTCATCATCAATATAAATAATACAGATTTAATTGGAATGATCTAATTTAATATTAATATTTTTTATAAAGTAATAATTATTCAAATGTATTTTTGATCAGTCTGAATTTAATATTAAATTTTTTTAATTTTTTATTTTATTAAATATAATATTAAAAAATAAAAATAATCTTCAAACTAGTGCTTAAAAAATTAAGAAAAAATTACAGCTTGAAAATTTTAAATTTAAATTGTGAGAAAATTTGAATAGTTAATTTATACTCCCTTTATTAAAAAATATAAGATTTTTTTAAGGATTGGATATTAAAAATGTAAGATATTTTTAATCTTTTAAAGTTTAATCAATGCCTTTTTTTTAGAAATATCCCTATTAAAAAAATTATTTTATATTTATTTTAGAATAAAATACCCTATTAAATAAGAGTAAATATGAAAAGATAAGATTTATTTAAAAATAAATAACTATTTTATTAATGGGTGATATTTGTTTATAAATATCTTAAATTTTTGAATGAAAAGAGTAAATGTTATAAAAATATTTAATATTAAAATGAATCATCCAGATTAAATTTATATTATCCATATTAATGATAAAATAGATTTATTATTATTTATAATTTTTATTTTAATAATTATATGATAAAATATGAAAATAAAATTTATAAATTTGTACCATGAAAATCTATATTGTTCATGATATGATGAGCAAGTAAACCAGACGTACCACGACTAGAATACCCCCGAGGAGGATAAGGCCAAGCACTAAGCAGCGAAAGAGCGCTGAGCAACTCCCGGATTTGTTTGTTTTTTTCCTTCTCGTTCTGGTGCACAACAACATTCGTACTATGTTTTACTTTTTTTTTTTTTTTGGTTTCACCATCGCATATGTCTTCATCATTCTTGAGAAAAAGTCACATTACTCCTCCCAACTTTCCCTTTCTCCTTTATCCTCATTCAACCTAGCCTACACTTTTACGCACCTCTCACCAGACTTCTCTTTCTAAAATGTTAATTCAATCGTACTATGAAGATTAGCTTGCTTGGCTCTTAAAACATGTTAATACAACCCTTTCCAATCAGATTAAGACCTAATTAAAGTCAAAGTTTATTCAGACCATTTTAAGGAAAGAATCAACCCAGGAAAAAAGACTAAAATTAAGAGGGATGAAAAGAGTACCCAGCACCGGCGAAGAAAGCCAGAGGAATCATCATTTCCCATCCGTTGATGGTCATGCTGAAAGACAAAAACCAACCGTTACACGCTCCTTGTGTAAAATCACAAAAACAAAAACAGAGTGATCGAAGCTACAAGTTACAATCAAGTTACCATATGGACAAGGCATCCACAGCAATTGTGGCATTCTTCAAATGCCCCGTCATCAGTATAAGTATCCTGTAGTACCAGTTCTCTAAGCTGCAGTATTAACAAGCCGGCCCAACTTCAACTGTGACGCATGCAATTTCTCTATCTTAACCCACTGTAAAAAGTAAAGAAGCATGTAACATACCAGAGCATGACACCGGAAGCAACAGACAGTTTGAGGTATTCCCACAGTCCCGAGAAGGCTTCCATGGAGTAACCTGTCCAAGTTAAAGGACACCCCCCACAAACTAAGTATCCGTACATCCCAAACACCAAGACCCACCACGATATGTCGAGAGCAAGGGCCGCACCCACCACCCCAAAATCCAACACGTACACGAAGACCCAACTTGTTACCACATTAACCACTAAACCCACCAGCGAAACCCATGCCACCACTCCTGCCTTCAGCTGGCTCTGCAGAAACCTCTGCAGAGGGAACTGAAACGCAAAGCTGAAGTGAAGCGGTATGAGCCACAATGCCACAATCCCAGACTCCTCCGCCACCTCTTCTGATTGGCCTAACAGTTTCAGGATCGGAGCAGCGAACACGTACACTGGCAGTAGTAAGAAACAGCAAAGGAACAGAACAATCCATGACCTTTGCATGAATATTCCCAACATGCGGTGCCTCCCTGCTCCGAACGCCTGCCCGCACAGCGTCTCCAAGGCGCTTGCCATTCCCAGCTGTTTCAAGAAAATTGTTAGATGAAGAACCATCAAAGTTGAAAACGACCGAAAGTTGTGGTAGTTGACTAGCTGTTAAGATTTTAGGAGGTACCAGAAGGCCGAAGTTGAAGCCGACGATGACAGTGTTGGCGATGGAGATGGCGGCAAGAGGAACTTCGCCGAGGTGACCGGCGAAAGCTTGGGTGACGACGTTCATGGTGAAAGCGGAAATGCGGGCGAAGATAGAGGGACCCACGATGACCCATAGTTTCTGGGTCTCAACCCAGAGCTTTCTGGCAAATGTTTGTTTTTCTGGAGGCTGAACTTCTATTGGCGATGGTTCTGAGAGGAGAGATTGGCTGAGATTGTCGTCTAAATGGCTCGTCAGGGTTTCCATGGGTCGTGGATCGTGCCTTCTCCTCCAGCAGCAATGCTTCAGCCCTTGCTCTCAGTCCCCCGCTTTCACTTTTCCTCTAGTCAGGTTTGAATTTTTTCGGCCAAAAGTCAGGTTTGAATCAAGGCACATCCTTTCCGTCCTATTTATGATATCCTGACTCTTTAATACAATATTTCATTAGTAAAATGTTTATGACTCACTTTATTTTTTAAGAAAAATGTCTAAGCTGTTTTATTTTTTTCGTTGCCATCAACGAGGTTTTCTATAAATTTTAAAATATAAATCGAATTTACCTAATTGGCCAAGTAATGAGTTAAAAAGAAGTTTTTTGTGGTCAGCTGTTAAAAGGAAATTAACTCATTAAATTTGTCAATAAATCAAAACACTTCCTAAAATTACTCTTATTAAATTAATCCTAGGAAGCTAAACATTTTGTAAAAGAATTATTTGTCTCAGATTTAATTACACGCATCGTTAAATTAGGCAAAAAGAGTTTAATATCCTAAATATGATCAAATATAGGAGTATAGCATGTTTAGAGCCCAAAAAAAAAATGATGGAAGAAAATAACTTGCTTGAGTATACAGTGTTTTAGACCGAATTGAGGTGTTAATTTAGGAATATGAGTTAGAGAAGCAGTTTCAATCCCGGATAGTTAAAGGGTTCGAACTTCTTATTATTGGCTTGATAAAGGGTTCGATATACACAATGTCACTCCATGTCCATACATTTGTTACTTCCCGATCCCGATTCCCTGGCCCTGGAAAAAGAACATCATAATTGCTTGAGTATGATCTGCTAGCTTTAAGCAGGGAGACAATATATGAAGATTTAGAGAGAAGCTGAAGGGAACTAGCTGGCGGCTTACAAATAGGAGCCATTAATTGTAGAATTTAAATCACCTGAATTTGGGGTGTGTGAAATTAAGTGAAGTTTGCGGTTTAAAAAAAAACAGAGAAAGAAAAATATTTTATAAAACATAATAAAATGATAAAAAATATTAAAAAGAGCAAACTTTACTTAAATTTACTCTCAACTTAAGATAATTTAAATCTCTTAATTGCATGGCGATCATGTCATCATGGGGACGACTCGTTACTTTCTTACCAGTCAATTTCCATTTAATTTGATCCTCATAGCGCCACCCTATTAATTCTGCCCATTGGTCCCACATTCATTACAACACGCCCTTGCTAATTTGCTTGGCAGCAACTGGGACCATTTTCCTCCAATTAAATTTTTTCATTGTTATTGTTTTAAGTTTTATAAATATAAGAATATAAATTAGCCACGTACTCCTGAGTCCTTAATAGTAATATATTGAAAAAAAAAAAAAAGTTGACTCCCCGGTGTCGCAGTCCAATTCCTGGCCTGACAGTTTACAACCCAAGCATGGGAGCTCACCAGCTCCGCAAATGCCATTGTTTTTTTTTTTAATAAATAAAAAATGCAAAGTCCCGTGATTTTATATATATATATATATATTGAATAGAAACTGAAACTACCAATACAAACTAAAACAAACCAAAAAGGTTGATAAGCCTTTTTCTTACGTAATTTTATATTCAAACTGCACTTCTACTATTATAGTTCTATCTATCTGCATATCTTCATTGGATATAGTTCCCTTCTCTCGCATTCTTTCATAAGATGGGAAAGCAAAATACGGCAACAAATAAAACCAAACAAAAGGCCAAAAAACAAAAAACAATCTCATTTTTTAAACTCCGTACAAACCATATTCTGGTTACATTTAAAAATTAATTTCATTTTTCTGTAAAACATTTACGGTAATTATCACTTGAAAGTATTTTTTTAATAAAAAATTAAATTTACAAATATTTATAATTAATTTGTGATGATATCGCTTACTTTTAAATTTTTATTTAAAAATTGAGCCTAACCATGATAAATTATAAAGATAAATTATTATTTTTTTGTAAAAGGAAAAGTAAATCTGTATAACCAACAATGAGTCTATAAAAATAAACTTAAAAAAAACCAATAAAAATATTTGACTTGCAAGAATCAATACTGTACTCATATTTGTGTAATGTATTCAATGAGAGTCTAATAAACGAGGTGTACATTTTTTAAAAGATTAGGATTTCATCTAATTTCTTTTAAAATTGTAAATTAATTATCAATACTTTATATTATAACTAAAAGCATGACAAAGACAAGGAGAATCATTTTTTTTAGTGAAGAGTTATATTAATCAATAACAGAAAAAAGTTTTAATAAACTAATAAGTAATAAGTTATATATTCTATTTCTATTAAAATATACCAATAACATACATGTGCGCTTGTAAGTTTAAAGAGCTGCTGAAAGTCTGAAACTTTTTACAGTTGATTACTCCATCTTTTTTAAAATATAAAATATTTTTAATCGAATATCATTCTCTAATAAAGTGGTTACTTATGTTTAAACTAATCTTATCTTTTTATATTTATCCTTATAAACACCCTAAAATAAATATAAAATAATTTATTTCTTATTTTTTTTAATATTCATTACATCTCAAAAAATTAAAAATTTATCTTTTCATATTTTAATAATTTATTTTTTATGTCTCAAAAAATTAAAAATACTTTATATTTTTTAATATTTATTTTTTAAAAAATATTTTATATTTTTAAATGGAGGGAATATATCTGAGCTATTGAGGAAGATATATATGCTCCGAGCATCAGTATGTGCTGCTTATGTGATTCTGATTCTCCATGTTATTTTAGTTATAAAAAATGAAATAGAGAAAAGAACATGCCCAACACTTGCGTGCCAACATTCATGAAACTGATACAACGACGTCGCACGGTACCAGCTGAAAAGCACTTGTGGGTTCACTCACCAGGGCAAGTATTCTTAACGTTCCACACACACAGCTAGAATGTAAATGAATAGCGTGCCAACTGCCAACCTTCAGGAAAGTAAACTGAGGGGAAAAATCAAAGCCACTAACCACATACTGCCGGCTAGAATCATTGATGATATCCCTTTTGGCCATTTCTGCACTATTCTGTCAACAAACTTGAACCACTTTCTCTCAAGGGCAATTCATAATAGAAATCACTACAGACCACTGCTGAGTTACAAGTTTCCATGAGTTTTAGAAGTTCGATGCTGAGGAGCTCGTCAATGCTCATCTCGTAACAGTGGCCATTGATATATAAAAATCAAGTTGTTTGGGGATGATAATGAAGGCAGTGAGGTAGAGATGTGCAGAATCTAGCTCTTATATTTTTGGCTCACCGTAAGAAGGGATGATAGATTGAGAAGATGGAGGATGGAATGGAAGAATTGGGGAATGTAATGCAATGATGTGAGAAGGAAGAGGAAGAGAGTGGAAGAGGAGGAGAAGAAGAAAATATCAGATCGTGAAAGAATGACTGATTTTGTGAGGGGCAAATGGATCTTTTCCTGCTTCAACATTTTTTTCATTTAGGGCCCTTGGGCCTTCAGAGATACTTTAGATTGTACTGAGTGCAATTTTTTCTCTCCTAGAGGTCCTAGGTGCAATTCTCCCTTTTTTGAATGCTTGCATCGTACTTTGATGAATCCTCTTGAGTCTTGCTGATATCTCGTGTTACTTGTTTGTCTCATCTTTCTGTATTTCCTGTATATTATGTCAAACAAGTATTGTATCTAACTTTAGCCCGTTTGTCTCAAGTCTCAACCTCATGTTTTGTTCTATCTGTATTAAAAAATCTTTTTTGCTTCCTCTGTTCTTTTCAACTTCTGCCAAGGCAGCTGGAGCTATAGGAACTCAAGCACATTTACAAATGATTGCTTTGTCCTCATACCAGCCATTAAATTAGAGAAATCAGTTGTTAATGGGAATAAGAAGGTAACAAAATAATATTGGCATGTGTTTCTTTTTCTTTAGCATTAAATCAATTGCTCGGAGCGTTAACAGTCTAATTAATTTTCTTGGATAAATAAAGTGGATGAGGCACAATAAAGTTTTTTTTTTTTTGGGAGTGGGAGTAATGTGTTGTTAATTCTTCATTAACTAACTCCAAGCTGTGAAAAAAAAAAAAACCTACAAGAAGTCAATAGCCTAAACTTAAGACAGTGGTCACTGCTCTTTTATTTATTTGATTTTCGCAATGCAAAATGTCAATAGCCTTCACCTATGAGCCATTAGTCACTACAATAACAACACTTGACACATAATAACCTCCCATTCAAACTTGTGTTGGTACTCTAATACTGAAAAACTAATTGTAGTGTTCATGCATGTCTTCCATATGGAGTAACTTTTATTTTAAATTCAAACCTTGAGGGATGGGAATCAGGAAATGCTATAGTAGCCACATATGCAATTTCAGTGAAAAATGCTCTAGATGAGATATCTTAAACAATGAGCACATACCCTGCTGCTGTTATTAGTTTGTCTTAAACTACTATTTGTTTTTATAAATAGCGAAGTTGATCTTGACTTTAAAGCAATGTATAATATTTTTAAGTAAGTTTTAAGTTTCATGCAGTGAATATGTATTAGATACAATACCATAATGTTCTATAGGTTTATAAAGCTTCTCTTGATAACAAAAAAATATTGGGTACCATGAGTTTTGTTGGACCTCTCAGTTTTAGAGTCACAAGGCAAAACCCAGTCAATAGCAATCTCAATGAGGACTGCAACTTGAAAATAATCTTTATAAACAAAACCACTTGCAAGTTCACCAAAATTATATCATTCAAAAAATCAAGAGTACAATCTTTGATAGTTCACTAAAATTAAACCCTAATATGGAAATATGGAAGGACACCTGAGTATTATGCGAAGATGAAGAAGTTTAAAGTTTACTAAATTATTTGAGTTCTCTTGCTTGAATATAATCTACGACAGGGCTGTTCCAAACTTTTTGTTTTGAAATAATTCTTGCTACTACCAACTTAGCAAGTTTCCAGGATTTAAAGTGCGGATCATTTTAGGAGTACCCCTCTAGTTTTCTATCACCTGTGCATTTGTTGCTGTCAACTTAGCAATTTGCTAATGTCAAAATGCCAATGCCTTTAGGCCTGCAAGTGTTTTCTGTGTGATATCGTGAAATTTTTGTAGCTGAGTTTTCTGTCAAAAGTTATTATTTATGTCTATACTACCGCTATTCATGATTACATACCACTTTTCTTCAAATATTATTTATGTCACTGTCCTTGTATTCTATATAACCTATCCCTTTCAAAGCATGACTATTATTTAGAACTTAAGACTAGTGTGTGAAAAGATTATAAGCAATTGATACTGGATAACCAAGCCAAGAACTAAATCTGGTGACAAAAGTCGAAGGCATTTATTTTTGTCAACACTTACTTTAAAGGTAAGATTGACTAATTGCCTTTCGGAAAGAATACAATGATTGAAGACTAATTCATGGATGCCATTTTTCTTTTGCTGAATTATTTCACATAAAGTTTTGTCTTGGGTGGTATTAAGTGTCAAGCATTTATAACAAATATGCAGCAGGTGTATGCCTTAACCTACAGAGAATGTGCCGAGACAGCCTATTATGTGTTGATAATTGCACCAGGAGTGTACACATATAAGTTCAGAAGATGGGTATTTCATTTTCTTAAAATGAAATCTTCTATGCTGTCAAATTAAAACCAAACATTATTTTCGGATGTTAATATCTCCTATGGGATAAATGATCCACAGAGTACCTAATGTGACTGAACTGAATAAGTCACAAGCATGGAACTTCCTTTTTTAATTGAAAAAAAAAAAAAAACACTTACCCAGTAACATAAAACGGAAAACAAACTGGCTTATGGAGATGCAACAAAGATAAGCATTCCATCTGTTGATCCGCATATCAGGAAATGGGCTCCCTTAAAAGTTAAAACACTCATTTAGAACACCAAAGTGAAGCCATAAGACAACCTAACCAGTAACAAATGCAGCTACAAAGAGATGCCCAAAAGGTTTGTTAGAAATTAGCCATACACAAACAACCTTTTCAATGTATAATGCTGCTCAAGCTAGGAAGACAACAGTCCTTCACTAGATTCAACAAACTGGACAAAATGGAGAAATATTTGCAGATAATTGCATTAGGTTTGTTTAATAGATTTCATAATATCCATCTACATATATCCAAAGGCTGTCTACCAAATACCCAAGGTTCAGTCTTTCAAATATCCATCTTCTGCTGCACCGAATAGTATCCATATAATATATCTATACATAATATAAAATATATTAGACTTATTTTTTTTGGCAGTAATCTATTAGAATTATTTAACTTTGATACATGATATTGGAGATGCAAGTCATATCACATATTGATATACCTTCAAACATTTATAATTCTAAAGCACCATTTTCACTTCTTGCTATTGTAACAAAGTGGAAGAAGTTTGTGAGGAAAATAACAGTATAAAATATTAGCCAAAATGAACCTCAAGAAATTCCATTAAATCTTGTGGCAATAACTGTTGAGCTGGTATTGTTGGGTCAGTTAAGGAAACTAAAAAGGATGAAAAATGAGTTGGATACGTTTCTATAAAAATGCTACATGCTGATAAGTTATCACTCATAAAGCTTCCATGAATTACTCTCACCAAAGATGCTGGACTTGGCGCACAACAGAATTTATTTATTATAGACACAAATAGAGTCAAAAAAAGTTGGTTTTAATGGTGCAGTCATTGTACTCATTGTCGGAACTTTATTCCAATATGTAAACTTCACTATTTTTATACATTGAAAATCATATTAAAATTATTTGAGTTAGGTTTATCAAAAAAAAAAAATTATTTGAGTTGGTAATTTCATTATCAAGATACTCTGTCTCATTTAATAATTTATAGAAATGATCTCTTTTAATGTTTTTGCCGTGTGACATGGTATACAATCAGAGGCCAATAAAAATTCAGCAGCACAAACAGATTTCCATGTAAAAAGAATTCAACACAACATGCAAAAAGAAGCTTGGATTTGCATGTTCAAAGACTAGTATCAGTAAAACATTAACCTTTGTTAAGAAGCACTTTAATTCCTTCTTGACCACGTGCCACATAATATGATTACAATTATCTAAACTATATTATCATTTCATAAATATGTGTTAATTGAATAGGCTAACCCATGCAACGCATGGGGTTGTGGTTAGTTCATAATAGAAACTACAACTTTTTCCAGCTGTTATTGGGCGAGAGCCGCTTCATTCCTGACAAGAATTCCCGCTTTGCATACCTAAAAATGATACAGTAACCAAAGCTAAACATGTCATCCTCCAGAACTGAAAACATAGTACTTTTCAAATGTTCCTGAGCTTCATTACCTCTTTTTCCCAATCGCATCTCGTGGTAATAGCAGTCAAAATCAATGTTTGAACGATTGTTCCACTCAACATTCCAGTCCACATACCCTGACAGTGAAAAAAATAGCATAATTAAATACCAGGAGTGGCAGCGAGGGAACTACGGCCTTCACAAAGCAGAGGTAATATTGTAATAACAGTGACGATACACGTACAATAAGACCCCAAGGTAACAACCAGCCTAGGAGAATCCCAACAGGGATCCCCACAATGTAGTAACTACCGATGTTTATATAAGCCACTGGAGCTTGCCAACCACATCCAACTGCTACTCCTGCAGATCAACACATGCCACCATATGGTACACATTAGAAATTTATGCCCTGCAAAGCTAAGACACATAAATAGATATACTGAATGATAAATTTTAAAAATCAATAGTTTCATGTCCCAAAAGAAAGCAAAAAAAGATTAAAAGTTGACATTTTTATTTATAAAGGTATATATATATATATTTTAAGTTTTTTTATGTTTAACCTGCTTTATGAACTTCTTTCTAGAGGCTCCACGTTAGAAATTGTGTGCCCAATTCACAAGATTGGAAGCCGATTGACCCACAGCTTTTGGGCCAAAGATGTCATGGGGCTATAACATGAGAGTAAGGACAAAAGATAGTATTGTGGGTTTCGTCCCAGACATGAGTGGGAAATGGGAGATGAGTGGAAGAGAGAGAGATTGTGTGAGTGTGTGTGTGGGAGTGGAGGGAATTATCAAGGAAGTCTGGACGTTCGTTGGGAGGCAAGCAAACTGTGAGTGACTGTTGCATGGGTCAGGCTCTAGCCTCTCAAATGCTAAGGAACCAGTGAGTGGATAAGCGTGTTTTTTGTCATTTCCTTTGTAGTTCTCTGGTTAGAAGACCTACACTCTGCCAGAATTATATCATTTTAATACCATTTTCATTTTGCAGGTTGAGTTCCATCAAAAGCGAATAGTTTCTGATTTATCACCTGAAAGAATTGGCTGCAAGCAGTTCAGAAGAATTGTAAAAGCCAGCAAGATTGCTAGCTCATTGAACATTCTGATAACAGGTAAGCTTGTTGTGAAGATCATGGCAAGCTTCTCATGAAGCATCATAATTATCAGCCATGATATAAATCCCACCACTAAAGTATTCAACACTGACACCAAAGCTGCAAATTTTGCACCTTTTGCATTGCCTGCTCCAAGCTCATTTGACACACGCACCCTGAATTTAAATATGTTAAATGTTCTGGAAAGGAGAGATCAATAATTGGCTTTCTAGAAGTGGTTGTTACTTGTTGTAAACATATGAATCAATCATTTACTTTCATAATCATTTCTCATTTGTCTTGACATTGAGATAGCACAAGAAAAGTGACAACAAAGGTCAAATACTGGGCTGGCGTTGGTAATTATAACAAAAGTTTAGCCTTCCAATTTCTCTCTAACTACGCCAATTAATATGTATCACATGAAGCCAAATCAATTTTCAAGAAGTTTGATGTGAACCTAAGGAAACAGTGTAAATTGCTAAGAAATTATAGAACAAGTCTTGAAAACTTTCTAAGACACTTGGGGAATTTACATTAGGACAACCAAAAGCTTTTAGATTTGCTACCAAGAAAGCCATAGACTTATGAGGACTTTTATAATTCTCAGATACTTCAATAGCTATCGGCATATATAGAAGTGTTGGTCATTCCCAAAACATGGGAATCAACTTCCTTCTGCATTTCAGAGGCCATCTCTAGCACTAGCAGGTTATGGAATGTCTTGAACTTTCAAATAGTAGAGCATCCAACAAAAGGAGGTGCACAATTGCACAGTACTTTTTTACGAATGATACCAATAGACTGGGACGAAAAAGTTTAGGAAGAAGCCAATAATGCTCCTGAAAATTTGTTATCATCTGAAACAAAAGGATAAAAGGCCTATTTAGATTTCAGTTGAGTATAATTGATTATGAAAATAATTTATTAATATGATTGATTTTAATTATAATTAATCATGTTATAACGCAATCTGTTTGGATACTATTTTTTTTAAATTGATTTTAGCCGTGCAAATTACCATAAAGGATATTGCTCTTTAAAATTAAATTATTGATAAAGTTATATTTAATATTATTAAATTTGTTAAACTTTATTTAAGAAGTAAAATATATTATTTAATAGTAAAATTAAATTTATAAGTAACCTTTCAAAGATTATTTCAAAATATGATCCTGATTCAATAATCAATTATCAATTTTTTTGACTGTTTGGGTAATTTTTTCAAAAAGTCAATTATTTTGGCTCAAAAATCGATTTTTCTTTGAATCCAAACAGGCTGAAAGGCTATACTTTGGGTCCCTGTGATAAACCAACTGGACTGCAGCAGCAGTATCCTTACAATTATTATAATCCAAAAACTACTTTTTTCACTATTGTTGAGTGGTCAAATATCACGAATCCCAGTAGAAAGCAGTAACAGAAATAGATAAAATATGAACCACATTCAATGTATCAAGTTTTGCTCTTCTATGGTTAAATATGACTCGCATAAAGCAAATCTCAATGGCAGGTATCATTAGTCCTTCTCTAATAGAAAAGAAACATGGATGACTTTGAATGGTGGAGTCATGCCCTGCTTAACCAGTGAACATAAATGGATAGGTTTCGGGCTCAAACTTGGCCTCAAACCCTCAATTGTAAACCCTAGCTGCGATGACGATGAGCTCGGTAATAGTCATCTGTAACTGTCAGTATCATAACCTGTAATGAGTCCTATGACTCTACTCGCAAAGTTACAGCGATTACAGTCAACATGCTTGTTTATGATTGAAGGACTTTTCGTTTGGACGCCTAGTGAGCAAACCACATGAGGGGAAAAAAATCTTTTGTTAGTTAATCTTTATGCCAATGGAACAATAGAAGACATATTCAACTCATGAAGCTATTTCTTCAAATCACTAATACTAAATCTGTATTTGGTGCAACTCCGTCCATTTGCAACCATGCCAATTTTCTCACCAAACTATCAACTTTTCAATCTAGTTTAAGCTTTTCCCCTTACAATCATCAATTATCTACAGAAAGAGAAGGGGGCACTCACAACCAGTGACATACCCTGTTGCAGCCAAGAATCCTAGCGGTATCATAGATTCCCAAGCATAGATAGTTACACTGCCAAACAAGATCAGAGGTTGGGAAAGACACAAGGAATTGAATAAATAGTTGTGATGAGAATGTTTATAAATAGGAACTAACCAGACGGAAAGAGCATCAACTGCAACTTCGGTGTTGTGCATATATCCTGGCATTATAACCAACAATCTGTAGTAGAAGTTCTCCAATCTGCAACGTTGCACTCATGCCTTCTAACAATGGCATCCACTTTCTAAGATTCAAAATATAAAGGGACAAGGACCAGTGATAAGTACTTACAAGAGCATGGCCCCAGAAGCCACAGAGAGTTTGAAAAATTCCCAGAGACCAACAAAAGCTTCGACAGAAAAACCATTCCATGATTGTGGACACCCACCAAAAACAACGTAGCCCAAGAGACCCACGACTGACACCCACCATGAGAAATCAAGAATAAGGGCAGTCCCGACAATCGAAACTTTCATCTTGTAAACAAAAACCCAGCTTACAAACGCATGGATTGCGAGAGCTATCCCTGAAACCCATGCTATGACGGCGGTCTTCAGCTGGCTTTGCAAGAACCTCTGCAAAGTAAACAGAAATGGGAAGCTCAAGTGGAACGGAATCAACCAAATCGCCACCAAACCTGATTGCTCCGCCACTCCATTGGGTTGCCCAAGGAACTTCAATATGGGCGTGGCGAAAATGAACATGGGCAGCAACAAAATTGAAGATAGGAACAGAACTATCCAGGAACGTTGCATATAAATGCCCAACATGTGGTATTGTTTGGCCCCGTAGGCTTGGCCACAAAGGGTCTCAACTGCGCTCGCCATGCCAAGCTAGACAAGACAATTACCCATCCATCTCTGATTTAAATTGCGGGTGAATTTCGCAATAACTCACAAATTGAGACTGATAGGAAGGAGGTATTACCAAGAAGCCGAAGCTGATTGAGATAAAGAAGGTACAGGCAATAGAAATAGCGGCGAGATTGAGTTCACCGAGGTGGCCGGCGAAAGACTGAGTGATAACAGTCATGGAGAACATGGCAAGGCGACTGAAGATGGAGGGACCTGCTATTTGCCAAATCTTCTTTGATTCCAAACATGTTCTTCTGAGCAGACACTGATGCTGATGCTGCTCTAATGCGTTCTGAGGCAGCGCCGGCCGTAGCAATGGATGCTCTGCTTCTCCCATAGCAATCAGCAACTGAAAATACGCACCTTTTCTTTTGAAAAATTGTAAGATGCTCTTTATATATATATAATGCAAAACATGATTTGCCATTCGTCCCCACATTTTATTTTCAATGTTTTAAATCTTTACAAGTTTTTCCATCTATATTTTTAATCCTTACGTTTTCAAAAGGATACTAATATAATATTAACAGTAAAATAATACTGATAATTATATAATAACATGTCAGTTAGTTGTTGATGTTTATTTTTTTAAAAAAAATAAAAAAGTTGATGTGTATTTTCTTAATAATTATACATATATACAAGTAGAGTTTAAAATTATGAAAAAATATTATGTGTTTATTTTTAAGTTTGTTATAATTCTGTATTTTAGAATGTCTTTCCTATAATTCTGTACTCCAAAATTAAGTTTAGGGTTAGGCAAGATGATTTATTATTTTTTAATGTATATAAGATATATTATTTAGGTTTGGAGTTATGATAAATTTTTTTCACTTTTTGATTGTTGAAAATTACTCTCTCTGTCCTATTTATAGGACATATTCTAGAAAAAGATTTTATTCAAAATATTATTTATATTTTGTTCAAAATATAAACTACTTTTTTAATTTTACCCTTTCTTGATTAACGTGAAAGTATTTAATATAATTATATCCTTATTTAAAGTCAAGAGTAAAAATAAAAGTACATATCATTTTTTTATGATATTAAGAAAAAAAATTAACATTTTTAACATGCGTGAAATGGTTGAAAGTATCTTATAATAAGGATTGAAAAGAGTACACATAAGCTTTTCTTTATTTTCTTTCCAAAAAAATATATATATTAGCCACTAACTGATACATCATCATATAATTAATGGTGTTATTATCCATAATAGCATAATTAACACCATTACTGCCACGTCATCACCTCTCTAATAGTGTAGGGACCTAAAGTGTAGATAAAGAAAACTGTAAGAATTTAGAACACTGAAAATAAAGTGTAGGGACCAATAAAAAATTGCTTATAAAATGTAGGAATTAAAAGTTATATTTTTCCTATATATAATTAATAATGAGATTTTTATAAACATGTTTTAATAAATATTTGAAATCAATTAAATTTTTATTTTTATTTACCATTAAGTTGTCCTAACAAGAGTACGCAGGAAAATAATAATAATAATAATAAGTAATAGTAGTAATAATAATAAGAGAGGTGAAAATTAGTTTAAAATATACTCCCTTCATTTAAAAATATAAAGCATTTTTTAAAACGTTGGATGTTAAAAAATGTGAACACTGTATTTTGTCTGAACTTTTTTTAAATTTAATAAAAATAATAATGAATTCAACTAAAAAAATATAAAAATATAAAAATATAATTTAATCTTTTTTTGGATTATATTTTTTTAAAAAAATAATCTAACCAAAAAAGGATACTCTTGTTTAATTCAAAATTAAATTTTTCTCTCTTAATTTAATTTTTAAAATTATGATTAACATAATATGAAAAATAAAAAAAAAACATTAAAAAAAAAGAGAGAGGCATTAAACCTTAACAAAAAAAAAAAGCATTAAAATTTATATATATATATATATATATATATATATAAACTGAAAAAACACAACACGAATGGAACAGACCTAAACTTTCGACCAAAGATGCAAAAGCAAAGAGCAGAACAAAAGCCAAAAAAAAGCTTCACTTGGCAGCAGACTCACGTACGAAGAAGCAAAGGAAATAGAGCTGGAGACGCACGCATGCACATTGCTGTGGAAAAGAAGAGAAAAAGATAGCAGAAAGGCAACATGTTCGGCCACATGCAGAAGGAAAATGGGAGAAGACTACACGCAAGCTCTGAAAAGAGAAATCTCTTCCCTACTTCTGCTTGGAAGGAGATGAATGAATGAGAGAGAAGAAGAGGGTTGAGCACTTTGAGTAGGAGTTGAAGCTTGACAGCAAAGGGAGGAGCGAGCAGGAAAATGAGAGTGAGACAAAGAAGAGGTTGAGATGGAAGAGAGACCAAAAGGAGAGAGAGTAGCGGCATAGAGACACGATACAGAAAAAAGAGAAAAACAGAGCACAAACGAGCACATGGCATAGATGAAAAACAGAGAGCAAAACGCAAAAAAAAAAAAAAGCCAAACGACGATGTGAGAACAGAGCCAGAAACACAGAAAGGGATGAATGAATAAGAGCAAGACAGAGAGGAGGTTGGAGGGAGAAAAGAGACCAAAAGGAAACAGAGTACGAGAACGGATGAGGAAAAATGAGAGAGAAGACAAAAACAGAGGGAGATTGAGGAGGACAGCACTCAGACCGTACAAAAATGGTGAAGAAGGAGAGAAGAGACCGAGAGTAAGGGGCAGCAGCAGAGTTTTCAAGAGTTTAGAATGAGAGAGAAAGGGAGAAAGAGTGGGAACAAGAGAGGATGAAAAACAGAGGGAGAGTCAAAGAGAGAGATGGAGAATGAGAGAGCTGTGATAGGGATGAATGAGCTGAACAAACGCGAGAGAGAGAGAGAGAGAGAGAGAGCAACAGGTATGAGGGGATTTGATTTTTGAGGGGATTTGATTTTTACAATTGGAATAGAATAAAAAAAACGTATATATATGATAAAAAAATTCATTATTTACTGTGTGAGATTTTAAATATTTCTACGAGCATTAAAAATGATCATATATCGTGAAAATTAATAAAATTTTATAAGTATGAGGATCAATTTTATCTATAATAATATAAGTTTCAAAGGCCTATCATTAAAATTAATTCTCTTTTTTAATTTAAATTAATAAAATATTTATTCTCATGTGAGATTTCAAGAGTTTTTGCAGAGATTTAAGTTAAGTGTATTATCGTGTGGGATAATAAACCCTCATAGATTTTGTGATTCTCAATTTATATGATAAATAAATAAATAAATAAATTTTGTAAATAAAATTAAAAATGTTTTTAATAATAAAATTAATTAATTAAATTAATGTATTAAATCTTTTGGTCATATGAAATTTTTGAATATCTATAGACCTCTAGAATAATCATCTTACCCTGAAAGTCAATAAGATGTTGTAGGTATAGCGATTAAGATTTCTATATTTAAAAATATAAATTGCACAATTACACATTAAAATATATTTAAAATATATATTATTTAATCTTTTATTATGTAAGGATTTTAAATCTCTACAGATATTTAGGATAATCGTATTATCGTAAAAGTCAATAAGGCTTTACAGGTATGATGATTAAAAATCTTTTAAAAAAAGTATATATTTATGAACGTACAAAAAATAATGATGTTATTAATATTTAAAAATTTAAGTAAATAAATTAAGTTGCTAAATTTTTTTATTGTGTAAGATTTTGAAATCTCCACAGATATATAGAATAATTATATTACCGTATGAGCCAATAAGGCTTTGCAGGTATTGCAATTAAATTTTCATCATAAAATATAAAAATAAAAATAAAAATAATTTTTAAATTCTTTTCTTTTTTTTATTCCAAAAATTTAAAAAAATTGAGAAAATAGTTAAAATTTAATTATTTTTTATAATTTAAAACACATATATCAAAATTTTAAAAATTATTTTATTTACAAAATGGTGAATTATTTCTAATTAATTTCTCTTTAAAAATATTTTCACCAATAATTTTTAAGTTCAAACTACGTGGATTTTGATCCCCATCACAGGGTACGTAGTCTTCAGAGTCAGATTCTGAGTCAAGTCCTCCCTTGTAAATAAATAAATATTTCTCACTTAATTTTTATCATTTTTATATTAAACACATGAATATAAAAGATATAATTAAAATAATTTTAAAATTATATTTATATAGCACAATAAACTTCAGTTAAACGTTCTTATGAACGGGTGTTGTGGGGTGCTTAATAACTTTTTCACACTCAATCGACTCCCGAACCTATTTTCTATCTTCACATACCATCTTTATTCTCCTTTAAACTGTTTTCCAATATTTATCTCAAAATTTCGGTGGTGACTTCCATTTCTTCGGTCTTTTTTTTAAAGGCTAGAACCTCCGCTCACGTGCTGTTCGCGTCGTAATTTTTATTACCTTTTAAAATGTAAAGTATTGTAAGTGTTTTAAAATATAATCATTATCTTTTTTTAAAAGTGTCCTTATTAAATAAATTACTTTATATTTGTTTAGGGTAAAACACTTTATTAGATAGGGATAAATATGAAAATAATATTGTTAGTTTGAAAATAAATAACTACTTTATTGAAGATAAAATTCAATAAAAAATATTTTATATTTTTAAATAAAGAGAGTATATAATTTTAAACAGTTAAAGCATCCGAGCGTATGATAATAAAATTCTATTTTTAAGATTATGTACATTTGTCATAATCGCTCTCCTTTTCATATTTTAGATTTATTTAATCATTTCCACAAGCTGAATACATTCCAAAATTTCTCTTTATATAATAATTAAGTAGTCATTCAGCTATTTATCTTTCATTTAAGTTTGCATTATTTCGTCAAACCAGGTAAAATAAAAATTTAACATGTCAAAATATAGAGTATAGACAAGTGATTTTTTTTCATGCCAACAAAATATAGATATGAGATATGTATAATAGAAAAATGTCATGTGTAAGTATTAAATATTTGATAAAAAAAAGGCAGCGGTAGAACTAATATACTATACTGTCAAGTAATGCCGAGAGTAATAAATATGCATTTTGCAAATCCACATAGCGTAGACAACTAAAATGTGGCAATTGCCCCCAAACTAAATGAATAGATCCATATGCCTGGTGCAATGTCTATTATGTAACACTCCCTCTATTTTTTATTATTAAAAAAACTATTACTTTTTACTTATTTTTTTATATAAACAAAATCACTCATTTTAATAAGCATTTATTATAAATTTATTAAATCATCCCTCATAATTCATATTAATAAAAAATAATTAATGCATGCTTATATTTATTAACATAGGATATTTTAGTTATTTTTTTTATTTTCAGACAATTATTATAGTTAATTAATTTTTTAAT